GCTGCTGATTGGGGTTTTGTGAACCTTAGAGAAATTTTAGAAAAGTCCACAGCTTGAGCCAAGGCAGGCTGTTTATGCAGAAAAGCCACTGGAAGCAGCTTGTGTGTGCTTGAAAGTTGGGTGGGGCATGATCTCAGGGAATCACTAGGGTTGGGCTAGACGAAAGGTGATAGCCAGTTTGATGGAGACTCAAATATGGCACCTGCTTGCGTCTGTTCACAGTGAAGAGGAGGGCTCAACAAAGAAACAATGGCTTCTGCCAGCTCCTCTGTCTGGGAGAAAGCTGCCCCTCCAGCCCTCACCCTGAAGCTAGATAATTCATTTCTTCCCCATATGTCCCTGGTGCCTTTCAAGCTGCTGCCCCAGCACTGGAGCTCAGAGCAAGTAAGTCCATCAGTGAGTAAGTCTGTGTGTGGTCCCTTTAAGAGGAGCGCTTGGAAGTGCAGCTGCCTTATGTCTCACTTAGCCACAATCTCTGCTGGTTTTCACAGCCAGAAGTTATGGGGACTTCTCTCCCCAGGACTGAAACCCTGGGATGAGAAGGGGCTGGGAATCCTCATTCCTCGGAGTGGGGGAGACCTCCACAGGCTAAATATCTCTTCCAATTTTTAATGGTCACATGCATGTGTGGGACCAGCTCATTCTGCATCTCTGCCCCTCCTATTAGTCTTGAGGTGGCTTCTTCTGTATGTTCATAGTTGTAGGGCTTCGGTTCAGCTGGACTTCAGGTGATTCTCAATAATGGTTGTTCTGTGGTTTAGTTGTAGTGGATGTGGCCCTGAGAGGAGGTGAGCACAGTGTTTACCTATTCCACCATCTTGACTAGAAACCCCTCTCTTTTTCTTATATGATATAATAGACACATGCATAAAACAGTAAGTTAAGCTCTATATTAATGGGCATACAATGTGTAAAGATGTAACCTGTGACAATAACAGTGCAAATGGGGATGTATAGAGATGTATAGGATTAGAGTGTTTATACTTTATTGAAACTAAGTTTATATTATTTAAACTAAATTATTATAAGTTTAAGATGTTAATTGTATTCTCCAAGGTAATAGCTAAGAAATAACTAAAAAGAAATAAGACGGGAATCAAAGTTGCACACTACCAAAAAAGGCACTAATGAAGAAATTGAGGAATAAAAAGCATATAAGACATACAAAAGCCTAATAAATAAATGGCAGATGTAAATCCTTTTTATCAGTAATCTCGTTAAATGAAAATGGATTAAACTCTTCTATTAAAAACAGATTTGAAGAATGAATAAAAAACAACATCCATCCATATGCTAGAAGAGATTCACTTTAGATATAATTACATTAAAAGGTTGAAAGTACACAAATGGAAAAGATATTCCATGCAAATAGCACAGAAAAAGAGTTGGGATGACTGCTTTATTGTCAGACAAAATGGACTGTAAATTGAAAACATTTACAAGAAACAAAGAATAGTGATAAAAAGTTTGACACAGAAAGAGGATATAACAATTACAGACATATATGCACCTAGAAACACAGACCCATAATAAATAAAGCAAAAATTGACAGAATTGAAGAGAGAAATATACATTTTACAATAATAGCTGGAAATGTAAATATCCAACTTTCAATAATGAACAAAACAACCACAGAGAAGATAAATAAGAAAATGGAGGACTTGAGAAAACACTACAAACAATTGTGTGTGTGTGTGTGTGTGTGTGTGTGTATATATATATATATATATATATATATATATATATATATATATATATATATATATATAACACTCCACCCCAAACAGCAGAATTCACATTCTTCTCAAATGCACATGGGAGACTCTCCAAGATAAACCATTTGTCAGCCACACAATAAGTCTCAATACATTTTAAAACACTGAAATCTTATAAAACATCTTTTTTATCACAATGGAATAAAACTAGAAATCAATAGCAAAAAGAAAATTGAAAAATATCACAAATTTGTGAAAATTAAATAGCACATTCTTAAACAACCAATGGGTGAAAGACGAAATCCCAGAGGAAACTAGAAAATACCATCAGTCTAAGGAAAACAAAAACACAACACACCAAAACTTATGGATCACAACAAAAGTAGTGCTAAGAGGGAAATTTATAACTGTAAACGCATACATTAAGAAAGAAGAAAGGGGCCAACTGAGTGGCTCAGTCAGTTAAGAGTTGGCTTAAGAGCGCGAGCTCTGGGCAACAGGGCCGTCGGTTCGATTCCCACTTAGGCCAGTGATGTCACACTCAAGCTGAGCTGTCGCTGAGCGGCCAACAGGTGGCAGGATGGCTCAACTGGTATAACAACAAGATTGTCTGTTTGATGATGGGCTATGCCCACCCGCAACTAAGACTGAACTCGGCACCTCGATCTGAGCTGCTGCTCGGATGGCTCAGTGGATAGAGTGTGTGCTGTTAACAACAAGACTGCTTGTTCGACTTCCACATGGAATGATGGCTACACTCAGCTGCAACTAAGATTGAACACAGCACCTTGAGCTTAGAGGCCACGAGCTGCTGATGGGCAGCCGGATGGTGACTGGCGCCTTCCACAACTAAGATTGAAGAACAACAACTTGGCTGGTCCCCTTCCCTAATTCCCCAACACTGTTCCCCATCCCAATTCCCCAATAAAATCTTTTAAAAAAATAAGAAAGATTTCAAATCAATGCACAGCATAATTAGAAAAAAGAAAAGCAACCTAAACCCAAAGCCAGCAGAAAGAAGGAAATAATGAAGAGTAGAGCGGAAATAAATGAAATAGGCTTGTGATTTTTTTTCTTTTGTAGTGTCTTTGTCTGCTTTGGGTAACAGGGTAATGCTGGCTTTGTAGAATGAATTTGTAAGCATTCCATCCTGTTCAATTCTTTTTGGAATAGTTTGAGAAGGATAGGTGTTACTTCTTTAAATGTTTGATAGCATTCACCTGTGAAGTCATCTGATCCTGGACTTTTGTTTGTTAGTTTAGTTTTTTGTGTATTTTTTCTGCTTCAATTTCATTGCTACTAATCAGTCTGTTCAGATTTTCTGTTTCTTCCTCATTCAGTCTTGGAAGTTTGCTTGTTTCTAGAAATTTATCCATTTTTTTAGGTTATCCAATTTGTTGGTATATAATTGTTCATACTATTCTTTAATGACCCTTTGCATTTCTGTGGTGTTGTTTGTAACCTCTTTAATTTTTTATTTTATTTGGGGACTCTTTCTTTTTCTTTTTAAAAGATTTTTATTAAAATATAGCTAACATACAATATTATATTCATTTCAGGTGTACACCATAGTTATTAAACATTTAGATACCAAAGATCTCTTTTTTTTTCTTGATTAGTCTGGCTAAAGGTACAAACATTTTCAACAAAATGTTAGCAAACTGAATTCAATAATACAATAAAAGGATTATATACCATCATCAAGTGCTCTTTATCCCAGGGATGAAAGGATGGTTTGATATCCACAAGTCAATGTGATACACATCAATAAAACCAAGGATAAAAATCATATGATCATCTCAGGAGACGCAGAAAAAAATCCATCCATGTGGGATAAAAACTCTCAACAAATTGGGTATAGAGGGATTTTACCTTAATATAATAAAGGCTATATATGACAAGCCCACAGCTAACATAAGACAAGGATGCCCATCCTAGTCACTTCTATTCAGCATAGTACTGTAAATCCTACCCCAAGCAATTAGGCAAGAAAAATAAATAAGAGGCATCTAAATTGGAAAGGGAGAAGTAAAATGAGCTCTGTCCATAGATGACATGATCTTATATGTAGAAAAATCTAAAAATGCCACCGAAATAATTCTAGAACTAGTAAACAAATTCAGTAAAGTTGCAGGGAACAAAATCAACAAACAAAAATAAGTTGCATTTCTATACACTAAAAATGAGCATCCAAAAAGGGAAATAAGAGAAGAATCTTGTTTATAATAGCATTGCAAAGAATAAAATACTTGGGAATAAACTTAACCAAGGAGATAAAAGACCTATACACTGAAAACTATGAAATATTTCTGAAAGAAGTTTAAAAAGACACAGAGAAATAATAAAGCATATTGTGTTCATGGATTTGAAGAGTTAATATTGTTAAAATGATCACGCTACCCAAAGTTATCTACAGAATCAGTGCAATCTTTATCAAAAGCCCAACCTCATTTTTACAGAAATAGTAAAAGAAGTGCTAAAACTCATATGGAACCACAAAGGACCTAGTTAGTCAAAACAATCTTGAGAAGAACAAGCTGGAGGCTTCATACTCCTAATTTCAAAACATATTACAAAGCTATAGTAAGCAAAAGTATGGTACTGGTATAAAGACAGACATATAGGAAAATGGAACAGAATAGAAAGCCCAGAAATAAACCCATGGCTATAGTTACCTAATCTTTAAGAAGGTGCCAAGAACATTCAATGGGAGAAAGATAACCTCTTCAACAAATGGTGGGAAAACTGAATATCCACAGGCAAAAGGCTGAAGTTGGACCTTAACCTTAAACCACACACAAACATCGTATAGATGTAGGTGTGAACAAAACCATCTCATCTTTGTGTCCTTTCATGCTGTGACTTTTGACTAACCTCACTGTCCTTAGTAAGGATATCAAAGTTTTCTAATTGATGATTATCTGTGTTCCTTAAAATGTAGCCATAAATATATTTGTTAGTAACAGCTGAATGGCATGACAACTGAGATAAATATCAAACTAGTAGTAGTATCAATTATAAACAATCAGCTATCACAAGATCACCAGGAGGTATGACCCCTGGTGCTACCTCATTCTTTCTCCCTTTGTCTTGTCAATCATTAGTACCTTAGTTATACCATTTAAAAAGTATTGTAACAAGGATCTGGTAGTGGAGAATAATTTGAGCAGAACTGCTGGGCTGTCTGTCCACTCTGAGCCAATTTTCCCATTAGTAAATTACCTTTTAATAAGTTTTTTTCATATTCTATGAAATTGCCTGTTTCATGTTTCAGTCTGAAGGTACCTTTTTGTTACAGCAGCTATTACAGCTTTGTCCGACAAACATCAGTTCAAAATGGATTAAAGACTTAAATACAATATCTAGAATTGTAAAACTCCTAGAAGAAAACATAAAAGAAAAGCTTAATGACATTGGTCTTGGCAATGATTTCTTGGATATGACACCAATATCACAGGCAACAAAAGCCAAAATAGACAAGTGGGATGAGATTAAACTAAAAAGTTTCTGCTCTGCAAAGGAAGCAAGCAACAGAGTGAGAAGTCAACTTACAGGATGGGAGAAAATATTTGCAAACCATCTATCTGATAAGGGGTTAATATCCAAAATATAAGGAACTCCTACAATTTAACAGCAAAAAAATCCACAAATAACCCAATTTAAAAATGGGTGAGAGACTTGAAGATATTTCCCCAAAGAGGACATACAGATGGCCAACAGGTATATGACAAGATGTTCAACATCACTAATCATTAGGGAAATGCAAGTCAAACCCACAATGAGACATCACCTCATATTTATTAGGATGGCCATTATCAAACAAAATATAACAAAAGAAACAAACAAACAAAACAACAGAAAAATCAAGTGCTGGCAAAGATGTGGGGAAATTAGAACTCTTGTGTATGTTGGTGTTGTCTCTATGGAAAACTGTATGGAGATTGCTAAAAACATTAGACTGAAAACTACATATGATCCAGCAATCCTATTTCTGGGTATTTATCCAAAAAATTGAAATTAGGATCTCAAAAAGATATCTGCACTCCTTTGTTCATTGTTCACTGTAGCCAAAAGGCAGAAAACACCTAAATGTCCATCAAAATACGAATGGATAAATAAAATGTGGCATATACCTACAACGGAATATTATTCAACCTTAAAAAAGAAGAAAATCCTATCATATGCTACAACATGGTGAACCTGGAGGACATTATACTAAGTGAAATAAGCCAGTCACAGAAGGACAAATACTATGTAATTCCATTTATATAAGGCATCTAAAGTAGTCAGACTTATTGAAGCAGGAAGTAGAACGGTGGTTGCCAAGGGCTGGGGGAGGGGAAAATGGGGAGTTGCTGCTCAATGAGTGCAAAGTCTCAGTCATAAAAGATGAAAAAATTCTAAAGATCTGCTGTCCACAACTGTGCTTATAGTTAACAATTCTGTAAAGTACCCTTAAAAATTTAAGAGGGTAGATCATATTATGTGTTTTTATGTCATAATAAAAATAAAAGGATATGTGCTGTTAACTCTTTACAAAAAAAAAATCAGTTTTCTCTCCATCCTTCATCAACCTCAGCTCAGAAGCTCTAGGCAGGCCTGGCTTGGTCTCTGAACATCGTTCTCTCAGGTGTCTGAAGTTCTTTTCCTTAGCATTATTTTTTAACAAAACATGTATTGTATACTTTACACTGACCACGCACAAATAAGTCAAAGAGAGATACAAGAAACCCATAGTGCCCATGATTTCTAAGCACATAGGCCCAATTCAGACATTTTATATGTCTTGCAAACCAGGCCACAATGCTCTACCCCTTCTGTAATCCTGGCTTTGGGATGTGACTGCAACACCTGCCATCAGGAGGTGGAATCTGTTTCCTCACCACTTGAAGCTGGGCTAGTCATGCAATTTGTTCTGGACAATAGAATGCAGTGGGCATGATGTGTTCATTCTGCTCTCCCTTCTAGGACCCTGCCACCAGCACATGAACAAGCCAGAGCAATCCCACTAAAGGGGCTAACCTAGACCATCCAGCCCCCAGCTGGCTTGGTAGCTGATTTCAGACACTCAAGCAAGCCCAGCTGAAGTACAAGAAACCTCTCCCACATGTGGCAGACATCTCTGATTCTGCCTTCCCAACACGCACTTCCCCTGTTCTGGGAACAACATTGACATTTTCCACAGAAACAACCTTCTCCTCTCTTTCCAGAGATGTGGGTTCAGTGTAATAGGCTCAACCCTTGGCTCCAGAGGTGGGCACATGTCCAAGCTTTGGCCAATCAAAGCATGCCTCGCCCGGCCAGTGACAGGTTCATGGCTCTACCAGAGACAGTAAAATTCAAGTCAAGGACTTCTGTAAAAACTGCTGGGGAAGCATCCCCTTTTCAATGGGAGTGTTGAAAAGTCAAGAAATTAGACCAGAGCTACCGTGCAGCCATCTTATCACTATAAGGAGAAATCCTATCCAAAAATGAAGCAACAGGTGATGACAACATTAATGACATAATTTGAGCCTTTAGAGTACTCAGCTATGCCTAAAGAAAGCCACCATGGACTTTATTTATTTATTTTTGCTAATTTGCTTAAACCAGGTAGAATTAAGTTACTATTGCTTATAAGCAAAGGTGTTCTAATACATTCCATCCACATCTTTCCCTTGATACAAGCAGGACAATTCATTTGAAGTTGAAGAACAAGTAAAATAATCTATGGTGATAGGTCGTCCATGGGCAGGAGAGAACCTCCTGCGGTGAGGAAGGTGTCTATCTTGATTAAGATATAACTTGTGTTATATATGAGATATATATATATATATATATATATGTATATATATATATATATATAAATCTATATATTATATATGATATCACTTTGTGGGTTATACAAGTTAAATAAAGCTTACCAAACTGTTCTCTTAAGATCTGTGCACTTAACTGTACATAGTTATACCTCAATTTTGAAAATATTGCAATAATGATTCCATTAACACCCAACACATGCCTACTGGGGCTATTTGTGAGGTCAGATTCATCTGCTCAGGCCCTACCTGTCTCTTCCCTTTCCCCTCACATACCTTGGCTTCCACTGGGAGTGTTGGGGCTTGTGGCAGTTTTAAAACAGAGCCATATATTAGTTGACCCTCCTCCCATTGAGGGGTGGGTCTCAGTTCCCCACACCTGCCCTTGAATCTGGATGGGTTTGTGATTGCTGAGACCAATCAAGTCAGCAGCAGTGACACAGTGAGACTTTCCAGGTTGAGTGATGAAAGGTGCTACCATACCTGCCTTGTTTGAGGGCACTCTCACTCTCAGCATTGTGAGCTGCTACAGAGAAAAGTCCAAGTCCCCAAGCTGCCACATGTAGGTACCTGGTCAGTGGTGCCAGAAAAGCAGCTGCCAGCCTTCCTGGCCCAGGCACCAGTCATGGCAGTGAGAGTACAGCTAGCAGCAGTACATCCCTACCGAGCTGCCCCAGTTCCCACCAGTCCACTGACCTGCAGTCATTTGAGGGGACCTGCCAGGCCTGCACTCGTGGTCCCTTTATGGATACCTGATCTGCATAATCCATGAGCTAACAAATGGTGGTGGTTATCTGCCATTCAGTTTTGGGGTGATGTGTGACACAGCCTCAGGCACCCGGGATGGGACCCCTCCATTCCTGGCCTTACCTCACAACGTCCACTGATGCGGCCCCTGACTTGAAGAAATCAGTGGAGTCTTCCACCTCCAGGACACTGGGGAGAATCCGCTTCCAGGCACTCTGGAAAATAGGCATGGTGAGAACATAGCTCCCAGGGGAGCTGGGAGCAGGTGTCATTCAGCAGGGTGAGAACAGCCCCTGACATGTGCGCGGACAGCCTGATATCAGTGTACCTTGGTCCACTCCAAGGCACAGGGGCTTTGAGGAGCCTGAGGGCCTTGGAGTGACCACTCTCTGGAGAAAGAGATACTGCCACACCCCAGGCCATTCAGCTACTGTCCTCACACCCACCTCACCTTGACCCCCAGCTTTTCTGGGGTCCCCATGACAGCCTAGGGCTGGAAGAAGGATGGAAGTACCAGAGCTGAAGGCGTGGCTGGGAACTGGGAAGGCAGCGCCCAACTCCTCCCGAGCCTCCCTTATGCCCGGCCTCACCTTAGTGCTGTTGCCTAGGCTTAGATATCCCCAGCATAACACTGATGTGTGGGTGTAGCAGTGTGGAAGAAAGAGCAAAATGAGGGGTAGTTAGGCGGGGAGAAAACAAGGCACACTGATGGGACTCAGAAGGCCTATGTCTTATCCTCACTGAGAGGCTGGCTGGCTGTGTCCCCAGATCTGTGGAGGGCAGCAGTGCCTGCCAGCCGGCCTAGGGGATGATCATGTAAAGGGCAGTGACAGCTGAGTGGGCAACACCTGCCCAGTCTCCCATGAAGGAATGACTTTCCCAGTTCAGCCCAGGATGGAATGACTATTTTCTGGGCAGGCTTCCAGCCAGATCTGTCAGGACAGGAACTGGGAGGGGCCTCAGGCTCTATCTGAGCTCCAGGCCACGGCCAGTCGTTGGAAGGGTGGGGGAGGGGGAGACACAGACCCAATTGGGACCAGCCCCACATGACCCCTAGTCCAACCTCTCCCCTCGTTCATTTTTGGAAAGGTGTCACAGATTTACTCTTCCCATACTCAGTTTGACCATTAACAGCCATACTGAGCCACTCCCTGTCCCCATACGACAGCTGACTGTCCTCCACGCCTCTTCTCAAGGCCCTTGCCAGCTGGCAACACCCTTCCCTGAACCTCCACTTCACATTTAAATTCTGGCCATTCTTGAGGGCCAACTTCTGTGTCGCCTCTTCCCTGAAAACTTCGCTGTCTGATTTGTGGACAGGGGCTACCCTCTTCAGACTCACGTGGGCTGGGGTCACCGGTCACCTGCTGGTGTGTGTGCATGCCACTGTATGGTGCCTGCAAAACACACCAGCCCTTTTTGGATGCATGTGGAACCTCTGAGAGGCAGTACATCCTGAAGCCACACAGTCTCCTTTAGATCCTGGCTTGATCCCTGACAAGCCATGGAGATAGAGGCAACAGTTTTCTCATCTATGCAAGAGGCTGATAACACCTGTGGGAGGATTCCTTGTGTGATACAGGAAGACTGCTTGGAGTACGAAAGTTGCTTAGTAAACATGGTGTTTCTACCTCCTGCAATGCCCTGCTATAAGGCTTGGCAGGTTGCCCATGGCCTGCACCAGCTCACGGTGGGCACTTGATGAGTTCTGCTGAATGGAAAACATGGGCTGACCCCTGCTACAGTTGCCAGGCCAGACCCTCTCCACCAACACTGGGGGGCTGCAACTGCCCCTCACTGGCCTGCATCTCCAGCCATCTCCCTTCCACCCCATTCACCTCCAGACCACACATCCTGTAAGGGCCCAGCCCAGCTGTGACCAACAGGAATAATGATAATAATGCTAATGACCAAGAGGCCATATGCATAGCAGTGGAGGCAAGAACTCTAGCCAGAGCACCTGGGTGCCAGCCCCAGCACTAACTTCATCAGCTGTGACGCCACGGTGGCCCCTGTTCCTCAGCTGGGAAATGAAAGTACCAAAAGCACCTACTTCATGGCGTTGTTACAGTAATTAAATACACTACTATTCCTGGAGTGTTTAGAACTCCGCATGGACACACACTCTACAAAAGAAGTATCTGCTTCTTTTCATGACAGCAGTTAGGCTCACTGCCAACATTTATTGAAGTCCTAATAGGTGCTACTAAATTGACCTTTTTTCATACGCAGTCTCTCCTTCACCATTTACAACACCCATGGAGGCAGGGTTTATTCACAGAAGAAGGACTCAGTTGCAGCAGCTTTTGACTCAGGCCTCGCTCTACAAACACACAACTTCACCCCTCCTTAAATGCCACTTGATTATAAGCTCCAGAAAGTCAGTTTGTCCAGCTGGCAGGCATAGGGGCCAAAGCAATTGCTCCAGTAATATTTTTTGAATGAATAGTTTGTTTTGTGTTGTTTGTTTTTTGTTAACAGACATTCACAATGTTCACCTTTCAACTAAGGAATTCTTGGTGCCCTCTGGAACAGTGTGAGCTCCCCGTGTCCCTCCATCTGAGTCCAGCCATCTGCACTTGTCAACATCCACAGTCACCATTGTGGCCCACTGACTGGCCCTCCTCCTCCCGTCACAGCCCTTCTCCTTGGGCTCCAACTGCATTGCCCTATGTTAGGGAGCCCTCCCCACTTCTTAGGGCCTCACATTTGCTGTTCCTTCTGTCTCAGACTTCCCCCAGATATTTTCTCTCCATTTAGGTCTCTAAGACTGCCCCTCCATCCATACAGGGAAGCCTTCCCTGATTATTCCTTCTAATGTTGCTCCACAGCCTCCAAGGACCTTGTTTCCATCACGTTGTTATTTCACTCATAGCACTTCTCCCTGTGTAAAAGTATTTTGTTCATTTGCTTGGCTGTTCATTGGCTCTCTTCCCCATGAGAAGGGACACTTCATGAAAACAGGGACAGTGCTTATTATCACATTCCTAGTATCTGGCTTAGCACCCAGCATTGGTAGGAGCTCAATGCATATTTCTTAGATAAGTAATTGAATACACAATTGAATGAATGAATAGCTGACATCCATTCAATAAAGCTAAGTGCCATCAATATCATACCTTCCAAGGGAGAGCGTGATGGGTAAGGGGAGGAAGGAGGCGATGAACAGTTTTGGGAAGTGACCACCTACTGAACTCAGCTGGAAGAGACTGCGTCCCAGACAGGGAAGTGCTGCCCAGCATCACGAGGGGAGAATTGGGTTGGAGTCTGGGTCTGTCTGACTATGACATCTGTGCTGGTCACATCACAGGGTGTCCCTCTCAGAAAGCCTTTCTGGAAGGTTTCAGTGTACATGTTCTATCACAAGACCATGGGCGTGGCACCTGACTCTTTCAGCTATTCCAGGGGCTTCTGTTTCATTTGTCCACTGTTGATAATGAGTCTCTAGAAGAGTCAGACCCAGCTGGCCAAATCTCAGGGTCCCAATGGTAGAGGAAGAAGGGGCGAGAAGACATAGAAAGCCCCAAGACAAGATAGAATCAACACTGCCTGGGGCCAACACATACATCCACAGAGAGTGTGCACAGTCTGACTTCAGGAAGTTTGACTCACAAAACACATGTGCACTGAGTGACCTGCTCAACCGGATAGTACCCTGAAGTAGTCTCTTACCCGCACAGCCTCCATGGTGACCAGCTCTGCCTCTGTCAGCTCGAGGGCACTGCTGTCTTCTCCCCTGAAGAAGTGCGAGGCCGGGATCATCTTGCCATCCTCCAGCTGGATGCTCTTCACCAGCAGCTGCACAGGGGAGATTGCACAGTGCCTGTGGTTGCCCTTAAGGCAGGGCAGACCAATTCCACAGAGGGCGCTATGCTAGTCTCCCACCCTTGTCATAAGAAAGGCACAGGGAGTCTCAGATGAATGATGAGGAAAAGAGTTCAGAGTGGGGAGGCTGCTGTTTTAGGGGTACAGAGGAGAACTCTCATGCTCACTTTTCCCTATCACCCACCACACCATGCTCTCGCTTTCTTTGTAAGTGTAATGACTTCACTATAGCTATAAAACTGATGCCCATTCAGTAGACAAAATAATTCAAGCACTACTTTGAACGCCAATTGAGAAAACAACTTATCACACAATAGCCAGCTCCTGAAACCTTGTGGGAACATCTGGTGAAGGTCATAGATGCCCCCTGGGACCAACCCAGAGGTTGGAAGAGGAGCAGATGTACTCATGGGTAGGGGAGCACATCTCTGTTTGATAAGACATCTATAAGAATGGTCTTGCCTGACCCCGACCCTGCTGCCTTTTGAAGATGGTCTGGAGCTTTCTGTGAGCTAAAGCTCAGCCAGACTCAGCTGGAAGTTCCTGAGAAATGCTTCAACCAATGGTATCCATCAAGACTGCCTCCTTTGCTTTGCTGTTCCTGTGGATATCACAGAGGATGCAGTCTGTGCCCCACTCCTGCTGCAAGGATGCCCAGCTGCTGCAAGGGGGGTGCTGTTAGTGGCTTGCTGCTGTACCCTTCCTCCTTGCTGTTGTTGGATAGGCATGGTTGTGCATAGAGAGGCCCAGGGACTATGCCTCATTGTCCCTCACCCAACTCCGGGGGAGTGGAAACAGAGGACTGAGTGATATAAAGATGCTGGGACATAATCGGCAGATGCGAGTCACACTCCAGAGCCTGCCCTGGGATCAAATGGAGGCTAGACTGCTCTAGAACCCTTATCTTTGCTTAGCATTTGTCGCTCTGTCCTGGCCTGCTTCCCGAGTGGTACATGATTTTCCGGAGCACTCCCTCCATAAATCAAGTGCACAAGATCTTCCATCTCAGGACCTGCTTCTAGGGAACCTGACCAAGACAGATCTGGTCTTCCAACTGCATTTATCAATCTTGAATACCTAAAACACCCAACAACTGTAAATCACAGATATCGATGGCAGCGTCCAGCCTTCCAAGTGCAGAGCACGGAAAGGTGGGCACCCAGAGTGAGCTTACACCAGTCCCAAGCATAGTCATGCCACACTCCACCTGGCCTGTATACACCAAGGCAGCCAATAGTCCAACATCCATGGGGTTTGTTGAAATTCCCTAAGCTTGGAGTTCCCTGCCTGTCCTCCTTCCCTGACCCCAGTATACAAAGCCCAGACCTGCCCAACACTGTACAGGGTGAGCATTAATAATAGAGTACTGTGGCAACTGGTGGGCCTCAGAGCCAGAATTTTAGGGTTTGAATCCCAGCTCTGCCACGAATTAGCTTGGGTGACCTTGCATAGGTTATTTAAATCTCTGTGCTTCAGTTTTCTCTTCTGTAAAGTGGTATAATATGAATACATGTCTCATAGGGTTGTTAAGAAAATTAAATGTAATACCTATAAATTATTTTAAAACTGCCTGGCACACAGAAAGTGCTCCATAAATATTAGGTGTTGCTCTGAGTTGCAGAGTCTGCTAATATGAATCTGAGCATACTATGTGCCCAGCATGGCTCCAAGGGTTCATAAAACAGAAAGAAACAGGGGCACAGAATTTCAGTGACCACTCCCAGTGGTGTTTGGACACTCTGCAGGATTAATATCAGGGCTCCCTGGGAGGGCTTCTCCATGATTCTAACACCCTCACAGGACATCCAGCTCTGGCTGAGGCGCCTGGTCAGGAAGAACAAGAGGATTTGTTCTTCCTGGAACACGGAAGTGGACAAACCCAATAGTTGGGGGCAAGCATGGACTCCTGGAACTTGCTGTCTTATTTTCTTCTGTTTTCTCCAGAGCAGCCTGCGGTCTAACTGCAGGGCAGGAAGACTTGGACAAGCGTGTGTGTGGCCTTGAGCCTACTGTATGGACATGTGACCTACAGCAGCATCATTACCATTCTGTCATCATTCCCGAAGAGGACCAGTCCCCTGTCAGTGACCACCCCTGGCCGATGGGCTCCTGGGATGGGCAAAGCTTCTCCCTCAGGCACCAGGCCTGCAGTGTTCAGCGTTGAGTTGAAAAATGTCAGCTTCTGTTTGGAAAGAGGACCAGAAAACAAGAAGGTGTGGATGAGAAGAGGCCCCCACTGTAGGTAGCCCAGACAGGGCTGAGCAGGGTTAGGGAGATGAAGTAGGGGCCAAGAGCAGTGCAACGTGAGAGCCACAGCCCTAGGACTCTGCCTCTAGGGGTACAAACAAAGTCTGGAGGAGCCTTGGAGACCTTGGAAGCCCTCAAGCCCTGTGTTCCTCTAAGACGCTTTGCATTGGCTCATGGTCTCAGACCTCGGGTGAACAGACATTGGAAGCAAACCTGCTCAAGGCACCACGAGGTGAAGACACCTGCCTGCCCTGGGGATGCCACTAAGCACTGGTCACTATGCAAATGGTCTTGTGGTAGCAAGGGCAGCAAAAGGACCCCCCAACACAGTCTGGCAGTTGGCCAATGGTCAGGGGTTTGGACAGTCGAGGACTGCGTGGAGGACAGGACTGCCCTCCACGGGGTATTGCCAGCCGCTGACGCCTTGAGAGAAACTGTGAGCCCCAGGGCTCTCTGTCTTCAGCATCTGGTTTGCCCACTGCCCCTGGCATGAACATGCTGCTCCTCCCCCTGGGGGACAAGTCAAAGTCAGACCTGGGCCTCCAGGAGCCCAGGGGTGAGAGTCAAAATATTTTAAAGTCAATACAGCTCAACTGCAGAGTTGCTGCAAGGCCTGGAGGCCTTGAGCTGTGCTGTCCCTTTACACTTTAGCCACTGGAATGGATAGGTCTCATGCTCCTGGGGGAGAGACTAAAGTGACTGGGGTTGGGGGTCAGGTCAGTGGCTATTTGCCAACCAGGTCAAACGTATTTTGACAGTTTCGCAGTCAGTGGGGCACACCAGTGCATCCAGCCCAATCCCAGCCATGCATGAACACACCTGCCCACAAGCTTCTGTCCAGGCACCTGGCGTCTTGTCATTCCCACGGATCCAGTTATGAATGGCCTCTGCTGGCTGCTCCCAGTTGATCTGTGAGGTATGACATGTCTTCTCAGCTGGTGTCTCTCCACTCCCTCACCATCTGGGTAACACCCCTGCCCTGATGACCCCTGACAGTGGGTAAAGCCTAGCGGAAGGACCCTGGGAAGTCCGGCTTCTTCTCAGACACTAGTCTGAGTCCCTGTGCTGGGTGGGGTCTCTGTCTGGTACCCATGCTCTGGGTGCTCTCTAACTCTCGGTCTTTGATGAGTTGGGTAAATGGAAATTGATGATTTGGGGAAGATAATATTCTTTTGTTAAGATGGCCAAGGCCTTACACAGAGTCCCCAGCAAAAAGTGCAAGCCCATCCCATTGTGCCATATGAACAGTTTCTCCTGTCCTATAGGACTCACACAGATGTCTACACAGCATGCAATAAGCCCTGAGCAGAGATATAGCCTGTAGGCCCCCAAGTCTCCCCAGCTTGCGACAGCTTTGAGGAACTGAATTATCTCTCGTTCCTCATCTTAGAGGCTTCTGGCATGATCATTGATACTTTACACACACACACACACACACACACACACACACGACTACTTCTTTTCCCTGGGGGCCCTAGCTGCCCATTCTTTCTAAAGAGGAACAGGGAAGAACCCAAAACAGACCCTGTCCCCTGCCTGTCCAGGTGCCACATGCTTTCCCCAATCCACGGCTTTGCTCACACTTCCCCTGCCTGGACAGCCCTCTCTTCTGGCTTTAAACAATTACAACTTGACTGTGCAGCCCAACCCTGGCTTCTCCAGGATACCCTCTGCACCTCAGCCTATGCATAGGCAGGCTTCAGGGTGGGCAGAGCCCTGGCACTCACCTTAGCTGTTTCCTTCTTCTGAATGCCCTCGTAGGTGGCTCCTTCCTCAGACTGAGGGATTCTGGGGGCTTTGCCCTCGGCAATCAGCCTCACAGCTTGCACCTGGGGAAACCCAGTCACTGGTATCCCCAGCATTAGGACCCTCCTCTTACTCCCGTCCCCTGAGTTCACACTGAGTCTGGACCCTGTCCCACACTGACCATAGATGCCTGGCACACCCAAGAAATATTTTCTATATGAAGAGATGGTGCTAGCCCAAATCCAATTCCAATCTGTACAATGGGCACAGAACCCTGCCCTCTCTACTACACAAAGTTTTACAAGATTATATAGATCTTAGAAGATTACACACAATATAAAGCCCTGTATAAGTGTAACACACACAAATTTCATGTTTTTATCTAAAACCTTCCCTGATGGGTAAGGAGAATGGATCATGAGCCTCGTGATAGGTTTGGAGGTCTGAGATTAATCAGAAGTAGTTTCTCTGTTAAATGAAAAAGGAAGATTGTGGGAGAAGGAATCAGGGCAGGGGGAAGGGGAGCCAAGAAGCCTGGGCTCATGGTGAGGGAGGTCCTGGGGGGAGAGCTCCCAGAAACACTGAGACTGAGAAGTGATAGGGGTGTCAGAAACATCTAAAGCAAGACTGCCCAGTTGAATGTTTTGTTGTGGTGGAGATTTTCTATGTCTACACTGTCCAATACAGTGGCCATCAGCCATGCATAACTCTTAGGGATTTGTCATGTAGCTACTGAGACTGAGGAACTCAATTTTTAATTAGAATTTTCATTTTAATTAATTTAATAGCTGCATGTGACTAGTGGCTGCCCTATTGGACAGCCCAGCCTTAAAGGATATTTTTAGTTGTTTTCTGTGTGATGTGCAACGTAACCCTTTTCTGTCTCTCATATCAAATCTCTAGCAAGTCTACTTTGCATGGGAGAGAATACAAAGAGTCATCTAGTTTAACATATCTAAAAAATAAAAGGTGGTGGTAGGCCAGGCTGGTTGAGGGCAAGGGGACAACTGACATCTGGTCAATAATGAGCACTTTTATGTCATTGTTATGCTTATTGCTACTTACAAACAGTAAATGCTCTCCTCTCCTCCTGGAGACTTCCTCCTGTCTGACTCCTGCCTGCTGCTGGAATCTGTGACAATCAGGAATGTGCCTGCCTTTGGCCATTACTGGCTGGTCTCCTCCCGCTGAACCATCAGCAGCAACCCCACACACCAACCCCTTTGGGGTCAGGTCCCACGGGGCCTGCCTCCTCTGCCAAGCACAAGTGTCTCTATCAGTAATTCTTGTGTCTTCCTCTAGTAATAGAAGCCTCTCTCCTGCAGAGAACTCAGTCTGCAAGACTACAACTAGACCAAGCTTTCTTCCCCAACTGGTCGCAGCAGGAAGCATGTGACTGAGGCTAGCCAGTTGGAGTACTCCATCATCCTGGCCAGCGATGGATTAAGAGCGATCACATGATCGTAAAATTGGCCAATCACAGTCTTCTCTGATTTTTCATTCATGAACTCTAGGAAAAAGAGGCTTTCTCTTCCCCTCCAATCCACAGGTGTAAGCCTTGAGCTACCAGTGACTATCTTTTTTCCCATTTGATGTCAGGCAGCCTGAGAATGAAGCTAACCAAACAGAAAAATAGAATCAGGGTGAAGAAAGAAAGGAAAAGAGAATCCTAGTGATATGGCTTAAGTCTCTGGATTCAGCCACGCTTGACACCATCCCCGCCTCGACTTCTCTGTTTAATGAGTCAAAAATGACCCCTTTTTGGCTAAAGCTTTTTGAGTTGGGTTCTGTCAGTTGTAAGCAAGAGTCCTACCTAATACAATGCATTATATGTTTTCATCTTACCTCTTTGAACCCCTGAAATGGGAGCTCTCTCCCTCCAGAATCCTGAAATTAGGGGAACAGGTTCCAGCTACCTCTGGGCAGCAAGCTGGAACTAGAGAAGGTGTCTGGGAAGGAGAGGCCCTGCAGGCACCTGTGGCATGGTCAGCTCCCAGCCCTTACCATCCCTTTGATGCCTTCGGGGAAGAGGAAGCGGTTGTACAAAGTGTTCACAGTATCATCTGGGAGGATCTCACACTCCTTCTGGAGCAGAAGGTCCCCGGTGTCCAGGCCATCGTCTGCCCAGAAGATGGTAAACCCCCCTTTTTTATCTCCATGAATGAGGGTCCTAGAGAACAGAAAAGTGAAACTCTGAGTCTAGCAGGAAGGACCACAGAGAAGTATGCTCTGGGGGCAGCCTTTAGGGTGCCTGCCATCCTTCAGCACACCCCTTTATCGCCCTTGCCCCCTGGGAGGATTGATTCCTACTCTGGCAAGAGAAGGAAAATGGTATTTATTGACACCAACCATGTGTCAGGCATTGTGGTAAACACCCTATAGAACTCATGTAACTTAATCTTCCCAACTGGTGTAACAGGCATTGCATGCCACTTTTACAGATATGGAAACTGAAGCCCAGAGAAGTGAAGAGACGTGGCTGGAGATCTAGGAGTCTGAATTCCAACCAGACCAGTCTGACTGCAAGCCCTCTTTTCCCAGTTCAGATGTCTCCCTGCCCTACTACTCATCTAAACAGCCCCACCCACCGGACGATCTCCTAGTTTGTCTTCTTAGTACTTCTCATCATCTATCTTTACCTCTTTCCAAGTGGGGTGCTACTGAGAGTATGGCAGTGGGTGGAGGTTAGACCAGGCCTCTGGGCACATCGCCTGGGCTGGTAGCCCCAGTGGTCTCTTGGGTGAAGCTTGGACAAGCCTCTTGACCCACTCTGTCCTCAAGACCCCCCCACACACACACACACACAAGATGGGAACACTGCTCATTTTGCAGTTTACTGTGGGAAAGCAGAATGCTTAGCAATGCCTATCCACAGTTCTCTTGAGCGTTCTTGCTTACTGATAACAGTTAACCAGTCTGGTGTAAGGATGCCATCTGGCAGCACATGACAGGCACTTGCTTGATGCTTGCTCTGTAGCCCCAGAGAACAGCTCCGGGCTAAGGGAGGATGGTGATGCAGGCAGATGGGGGTGGTTTTGCCATCTTACCAGTTGATGGCTGAGGCCCCTCGGTGCCGGGGGAGCAGACTCGGGTGGTAGATAATAGAGCCATGGTGGGGGGCATTGATGACCTCCATGGGAATGAACTGGCTGCAGAAGGGCAGGACGTTGAGCTCGGCACCCAAAGCCTGGTATTTTGCCACAACCTCGGGTAGAGCCTGTCCTCTCGCCCTCCAGCGGGGGAACTTGAACACTGGCACTCCATCCTTCTCGGCCTCCGAACCTGTGGGACAGCAAGTGAGAAACTGGACCCTCCTTGCCCCCACCCACATGTGGCCACCTTTGCCTTCCTAGCAAAGGGACTCTTGCACTTTCTCTCCAGGCCTGTCCCTTTCACCCTTCCCCACTGCTTAGCTAGGCTCCATTGGGCAGCACAAAGGGGACAGCACTAACCAAGGGTGAGGCTTCAGGGAATGTTCGGTCTGGACTGACTTCTACTGACCGCCAAGATGTCTGAGCGCCTCCCTCTCCCACTTCTGCCTGACCCGCTACAGCTGACGTCTTGCCGTCATTCTGCTCCCATAGCCTCCCTATGCCCGTCACCAAGTTACTGTTTCTATACCCTTTTCCTCTCTGGGGTGGGGTCTGAAACTCTACAAACTGCAGAAGCTCTGCAAATAAGGGGTGCTAGAGGGACACTGACAGGCTTGGGGGAGAGGGGAAAGAAGGGGGGCAAAAAGCTTGCTTCTTTCTGTGAGCTCCTGCCCTGTGAGCATCACTCCAGTCTCATGTCTTCACCCCAGAGCAGCAGCTGAGTCAGTTTGTAGTTTTACCACTATCCGCAGAACTAGCCTCGGTGCACACGATCCCTTCGTGCTGGTCTCTGCCCTTCAAGGTTCAGGTCCCAGCCTTTACACCCCTCCTCCTGCCTTGTTACCAGTACCCACGGCCAGCACGCCCACCTCACAGGTATGAATTACTGCCCCTCAAACTTCAAAGTTTTAGAAATTACAGCTTCTTCTCAAGCCTTAGAGGTGGTAGCTGCCTCCTGTAGTCATTACCCTGGTACATTTGAGTTCTCTGTTTGTTTTTTTTAAAGATTTTTATTGGGGAATTGGGGGAATGGGAACAGCGCTGGGGAATTGGGAAAAGGGGAACAGACAAGTTGCTGTCGTTTTGTTCTTCAGTCTAGTTGTGGAGGACATCGCTTCACTGGCCCAAGTTGGCACCATCATTGTGCTCTTCCCAGGCGAGGCAGATCAGTCGCTGGCTTCTGGACAGCCACTCACGCTGGCTGCTGGCTGCACACGGTAGCCCATGGCAACCCACTGCCACAGGGGCTGCAGCCTACACCGTTGCCCATGATTCACGGCAGCCCAGCTCCAGGTTGAGCTGTTGTTCAGCATCTTAGCTGTGAGGGCAGTGTCGCTGGCCCTCATATGTGGGATCCAAACCAGGGCCCTCTGGCATCCCAAGCCAGCTCTTAACCATCGCACCACTCGGCCGGCCCCATTGAGTTCTCTTTTGTCTGTCTTTCTTTAGCACCTGTTGGACACTTCCTTGTACTCTGTCCTCTGTTAGCACACCTGATGTCTGGACCCTGCCTGGACTTAACCCACCTTCCAGCCCCCTCTGCCTTTGTGCCTTGGCATCCAGGGGTGTTGAGGGAGGGTAGGGTCAGTGTAAACAGACTGGACTGTGCTTGTAAAAGCTGTTCCCACTGTGACCAATGGAATACTTCTGTAGGACATCTGAGGTAAAGTCAAGTAACAGTCACAGCAGGCTCAGTTGGGGTCCAAGCTCAGAGGCTGGTGTCAGTGGTGACTTGGTGACTGGGAGCTGGGCTCAGGCTATGTCATGGGTCACACTGGGTCAGATCTAGGATAGGTGCTAGAGCTGAATCCAGGGTCTAAGGGAGGCTCACTCTTCCCTGTGAACCAAGACCTTACCTGGCCAGACCCACAAGGCCCCCTTCTTAAGCCTGGCCCCATATTCTGTGTCCATCAGACCTGAGAAGAACCTGTGAAGGGACCGGCAATGTCCCGGGAGGGTCTGTGCATCTGAGATAAGGGCCCCTGCATCCTGCCATGCTGCTGAGGTCCCCAGCTCAGCCAGTGATTCTCAAAATGGGCTCCTCCTAGATCAGCGGTTCTCAACCTGTGGGTTGCGACCCTTTTGGGGGTCGAACGACCCCTTCACAGGGGTTACCTAAGACCATCGGAAAACAAAAAGATATTTACATTACGATTCATAACAGTAGCAAAATTACAGTTATAGAGTAACAACGAAAAGAATTTTATGGTTGGGGGTCACCACAACATGAGGAACTGTATTAAGGGGTCGCGGCATTAGGAAGGTTGAGAACCGCTGTTAGAGCCAGGGGCATCAGCATCACCTGGGAATTTGTTAGAAATGCAAATTCTCAGACCTCACTCCATTCCTCTGAACAGAAACTCCCAGAACAGGGGCTCAGCACTCTGTGTACAAGGCCCTCCCAGTGGTGGGGACGCAGTGACTCCTGATGGCATTTTTTCCAGGGCTTGGGTGTAAGGGTCAGAGAACCCTGGAGTGATCAAATAACAGGGCCTGGGAGCAAGCCAAGCTTTTCCGTGGCCCTTCTCCAGCATGTAAACCCCACCCCACGATCAGGTGGAAAGGAGGTTTCCACTTGGTTCCAAAAAAGCTGGGCAGCTGCTTGGCACCTGAGCAGGATTCAGAGTAGACCGTATTCGGCTGCATCTGGCCAGGGACACCCATGGCCTCACCACAAGATCATTCAGGCTTCTGCTCCATTCACTGCAACCCACCTTCCTATACACCCCCCTTTCCTTGCTCTTAGGCCGCCCACTCACCCAGGGGGTCCGCCTTCCCATTCTTGTCTGGGACAGTGAACACGCCCACGACCTCATGGCCTTCTTCCCTCAGGCGGCAGTAAACTTCCTGGCCGAACAGGCTCTGCCCAATCACTGCAATCTTCATGGCAGCAAGGGTGGGTCAGGAAGACCTGGGGAAGGAACCAGGTTGCAACATTGGACAGGGCTCTCTGGATCAAGTAGTGCAGCTGCATAGCACCTAACCTGCCTGCCCCCACCTTTAGGGTCCCTTCTGGGCTCCCTAGTGGCAGCCACTGCATGGAGGCTGCCTTGAAAAGACCAAAGGAAAAGTTTCTGCAAGAGGTGACTTTAGGTGCCACAGTGGACCAGTGACACCGAGATTGAAGAATTAGAAATGCCTCCTTGAAACACTCCGAATTCACATGGAACACAGGGTGTCAAGTTCTCTGAGGTGTATTTGAACATATTTTTATAACTAACCAGTCTGTGACCTCGGCCAAATCACATCAAGTCTCAGTTTCCTCATTCGTTAATAAGAAAGATGTCATGTGCCTCAAATGACTTTCAGCCTACAAGTCAGGCTTATTCCCCTGTCTACCTCAGCCTCATAGAATAGGATACCTGGTGGGCAGGCGCTGAGGACTGCAGGTGGAGGAGGGATGTGGGAGGGGGTACCACTGGGCTTGTTAAGAAGGAAGATATATGGAATGACACATAGCTAGATCATGCAAATGTCTCCAATGTTTGGGCATTCATTCACCATGCTCATATCTGTAAAGCCTGTTATTCATCTGATGCATTTCTTTAAATTATCCATTTACAAAAATATACATTTTTTGAAAATTTTATTGAAGTGATATGCCTCATACATACAGAAAAGTGCACAAATCATAGGTATATAGCTCAATGAATTTTCACAAACTGAACACACCCTTATAATCATCACTCAGATAAAGAATTATTTCAGAAGCCCCCTTCGAGTCTCTTCCAGTCACTACATCCCAGTAAGAGTAACTGGACTTTTAACAGCATTGAACAGCTTTGCCTGTTTTTAAAATGAATATATATGTTATATATATTATATATAATGGAATATAATATAATATAATATATATAATGGAAAATAATGTAATATATATATTTCATTTATATAAATGGAGTTATACAATTTAATGTTTTGTGGATTTTTTCCCCTGAACGTTATCCATATTATATTATGATCATTCTCATTGCTATTATACATAGTATTTCATTGTGTGAAGTAAGTAAATACATTTATTTATCTACTCTACTGTTGATTGTCATTTTCAGTTTCAGGTTATTTATTACCAATAGGGATGCTATAAAGATTCTGGCACATGATTCTTACTGTATACAGGTACACATTTCTGTGAGGTGTGTGCCTAGGAGTGCAATTCTTGAGTCACAAGTACAAAAATGTTTGGCCTTAGCAAATTCTGCCAGTTTTCCAAAGTGGTTGTACCAATTTCCACTTCCATGTGCTCTGCATTGTATCCTTGTGACTTTTCATTTCAGCCTTTTGCTAACATGAAATATAGCTGTAGCATTGCAGTTTTAATTTGCAATTCCCTGATAACCAATTAAGTTGAGCACTTTTTTCTATGTATATTAGCCATTAATATATCTTTTCATGGGTATTGACTCTGAGTTTTATCTATTATTTCCATTGGGTGGTCTTTTCCTTATGATATGCAGGAAGTTTTTGTCTTTGTTTTGTTAAATAATCTAGACTATGAGTCCTTTGTCAGATATGTATAAACATATGAGGAGTGATAAAAAACTATGGTGAATGTTTAAATTTAAAAAAAAATTATTACAATAAAAGACACCTTGCCATTAATATCCTCAAAATACTCCCTCTCACTTCAAACAATCTTATCCCATCATTCTTGCCACTTTCTGAAGCAGTTCGGAAGTCCTCTTTCATGAGTGTCTTTACTTGTGCTGTTGTGGCTGCCTCGATGTCCTGAATCAATTCAAAACATTTACCTTTCATGATCATTTGGAATT